GGGGGGGGGCAAACAACACAAACGTTGTTGTATTGAAGTGCCACTTTTTACACACATGGAGTCACAGTATAACGAATGTACACCCGTGGTGGGGATAGATGCATCACGTCACTTTTTTCCCTCATCAAAAGGGGACGGATGCAGAGTACGTATCTCACACAAGCTCAAAGAGTCTGTATGCTCACAGAGTACATTATCTCACAAAGTACGTTAGCTCATAGAGTACATTACCTCACAGAAAGCATTAGCTCATAGCGTATATTACCTCACAGAAAGCATAAGCTCATAGCGTATATTACCTCACAGAAAACATTAGCTCATAGAGTATCTTACCTCACTGAAAGCCTTAGCTCATAGAGTATATTACCTCACTGAAAGCATTAGCTCATAGAGTATATTACCTCAGTGAAAGCATTAGCTCACAGAGTATATTACTTCACTGAAAGCATTAGCTCATAGAGTATATTACCTCACTGAAAGCATTAGCTCACAAAGCACTGTTTTAATGTTGGTGATTTTTACGCCCCATCGACACAGTTTAGACCATTTGGAAGGCGGGCTTCCGACTCTGCCAGTAAGGGCCAACACGGGCTGAAAGAGATTCAACTTCCCAGCAGAAAGGCCGAGATACTCGATAAAAATTGTCTCCCCACTCTGGAATTGAACTCAGTTTTTTTTGTATGTGAGACAGCAAAGCGCCCAATTAACTGCTACACCACAGACGCCGGTACTAACAGAATACATTAGCTCAAAGAGTACATAGCTTATAATTGAAATAAACATTTTTTAAGAAAATGAAAAGGTAAAATCAGGGACTTACCTCCTTTTGCAGCTCTTTCGCGTGGAGAGGTGAGCATGTTCCTGTGTGGGGTGTCGTTTGAAAAAAGGGGAAAAGGGGGGGGGGGGTGCAAAAAAGGTACGTTTATTTACCGTGACTGACACCTAAACAACGAAGAATTAGATAAGTAAAGAAAGGTGCCATCGTAACTGGGTCAGTGGAGCTTGTCTCTGATCTTGTCGAGTCAAGCAGGAGCTGAGTGGGAAGATGAGAATGCCTACGTTTCGTGCCGCTGTTCACACTTTAGATTACCATAGTTATGTTCTCCATTATCACAACGAACAAGACATTAGAGCAAAGAATTACAACATGTGAAATGCGATGCCTTAGAAAAGCAGTAAACAAGACCAGGCGAGACAAAATTAGAAGCTCTGTAATCCGAGAAACGGTGGGCACAAATGATGTCATGCATCACATCCAACACCAAAGAATCAAATGGTTCGGACCTCTCTTACGATTACCAACACACCATCCAGCACAACGTGCCTACATTAAAAAAAAATTCGATGGCATCAAGGCTAGAGGGCGACCGAGAAAGACCTGGATAGAAGGGGTAAGGGAAACATTAACCACCCACGGCATCCCCCTGACCCAAGCTCTCCGGCTGGCGACAGAGGGACGTCTTTCTTCCCGCGACATACACAAGGGTATAAGCGGCGGATAAAAGTGAAAAAATGTTCTCCATTGTATCATGAGCCAGATTGTGACAATCGAGTCGCTCAAGCGAATGAGGACAACTGACTTGCTCGTCAATCATCATGTGTGCTTATTTGCTGTGTATGATCATAATAACTTTTTGAATAGAGTAGTAAATATTCTTTTGACTTAGATCTAATATGAGGCGACATACTGAAATACGATATATATAATGTACCAATTTAAATCAGGATAATTTAAAATAGTAAAACATTTTCCAGCACATACGAATTCTGGTGAGATAGTGGTCTAAGGTATTGATATATTATAATGAAATTAGTTTCATTTTATGTCGCATAAAGTAAAGAATCTTCTCCCACCAATTATGTGATGAGAATAATAATACGCATAAACGATTAATATTGACATGTAATGTCCTATCGGTCAATGCAATAAAATGTGTCTAATCATTTTCGAGCTCCATCAAGTAAACAACCCGTTTCCTCCACGACCTGTGATGAGTTAATTATGCATGAATAAGGTATTGGCGTCATGTAATGTCTAATCAACCAATGCAATGTAAACTAGATCTCGTAGGATTTGGATTAAAGTAAACATCTTTCAACTCCATGAACTTTGTTGAGATACTTATAGGCATTGCCACGTAATGTCCAATCAAGTAGTTTTTATTGTGCAAGACGTAAAAATCTTCTGTAACTGTGATTCATCCTGGGACAATGATAGGCATACAAAGACCCTTCCAGTTTATTGCAAAGGCGTTCAGCGACAACGTATCAGGGTCTGTTCTGTAGGATACACATTTTGGAATTTGTTTTAATTAACGAGAGGCAAAAAGATCAAAGGCTGGTTTGAATAGCAGCACTGAAAGCGTAGATTTTTAATAAACATGCGATCAACATCCATTCTATATCAATGTTGATTGTTCTGCTTTCTTTGTTCTTTTCTTCCCCAGCTATTCTTGTTGCCGATAAACACATCATGCCCAGGCTTGTTTTGCTAGTGAGAGGGGTTTGTGGATCCCATTTTGTTCTTAAGGTAAGCATACCATGGTTGGGTATTGTCCACAAAGATTCTGATGACTGCTTTCCTTAGCCCTCTGGGAAAAGATCTTAATGCTAATAAATTATTCTGTTTTTTCCCCTCTGCTGTTCGGCGCTCCCCCTTTGTCATTTCCGCACACAGCGCTCCACACTCCACGCAGTCCGACTTGTGTCACTGTTACTTTAATGGTTAGGTCAGGGCCAGGGAGAGAAGTCGGGCCAACATTGCACAATCCGTGCTGGCACCATCACTCATCTTCTTTCAGTGCTGCTCTTGGCTGTAGGGTCCTTGTGCTCTCGACATTATTGCATCACACTACCCCAATCTCTTCTAGATATCTTTAATGCCCGAACAATTTTCCTTTCAAGGCATCGGTAATAATTTAAGCGGGACCCAACAGTGCCGCTTGCCGCTTGGAAACATGATACATGTACCAGTAAACCGATGAGACAGGCTACTTCTCGTAAGGGATTGGGCCGACCGTCCGACCTCAAGACGGTATAGTGTAAGGTCCTTGGCCGACTTTCGCAGAAATTCCTTGCAATAACTTTCTACTATTTCCCTTTTTTTTTCCTTTCGTGAAAGTTGAATGGATATTGTGATCGAGTCAGTTTCGAACCCTAAGTTGTTTATTATTATTATTATTCTCTGGGAGGATCTAAATAACGATTTGTAACACTGGTAAATTTAGAGAAACAGTATCTCTCTCTCTCTCTCTCTCTCTCTCTCTCGCTCTCTCTTTCTCTCTCTCTCTCTCTCTCTCTCTCTCTCTCTCTTTCTC